CATGCGGAAACTGCTGTTCTTACTTAATCGCCAATTAGCTGGTGTAACTTGTGGTATTTCGCGGTGTTTCGGTGTCCCGATCGACGTGTCAGATACGTTGCCGTAACACGATCGCTTACAAATTTGATTAAACGTGATTGATGTGTTTGGACAGCTGAGCTGGGAATTATACTACTTCTGGATTTAGATACATTGGTATATATCAGGAGATTTGTGAAATATCGGATAGAGTAGGTACATATCCTGTGCAGAAATTGCAAAAGAACTTAAATAGAATAGATTTTACGGTAGATGGATTAGATGGATTATTCCTTTCGAGATCACTCGCTCCAATTTTAACATGTTAGACTCGAGTATTAAATACAGAGTGACTCCTGCCAGTCTCCTTCAATTACACGGACGCCATTCTTAACTTCCGTGTACAAATTTCGCAGGTCTCCTCATCTGTTCGCCTCCACATCATCCTCACCGTGTAGCCCCGTTTTCGAGTTATTAATCGCCGCGCTGAGAGAAATCAACGTTGCGAACCGGCAGCGGATCTCGCAACGGATCCCGCAACCGACGTAATTGGATTCGAGCTTAATACATTTATAATGCAAAGTTATTAACCTAACTAACGTATGATCGTTGCAATTACGTGGTTGTGGGTTTTGCCGGCTTAACGAGCGATCTTGAGAAACCGCTGTGCTATCCTAGACGAAAGTCTAGTGGACCGTGAGAGGGCCATCCGTTTCTTTCTTCGATCGAATCCTATCCTATTTTTATTTGCATTTCTTTTCTTATATCTTCGTTCGCGGAATGTCAGCTGATCGTTTCGTAAAACGCCCGCACAAGTTCACGAATGTTCATGCTCGGATTATCGGGGAATACTAATAGGAGTCGCCACGTCGGTAAAATTTTTACATTTCATTAGCGTGATGAAACCTACAAACTTGTCAGGACGTTTCGAAGCGCGAGATGCATCTCAGAATTTCAATTGTTCCTAGAATACCAATATTTCATGAAACGCGCTTTGCGTCGTATCGTGGCAAACAAGCCACGAAGATATGTGATTAGTCAATTCTATGCAAATCCATAATCGCGAATGTCACGATTGCACAATGCAAAGTACATGTTCCAACAGAACCTTGTGCATCTCCTCACGTTGCCAATCGGTTTCGTTTCGATCGTCCGAAACGTGTCGCTCGTCCAGTGGGAAACTTTGTGCTCGGGCTCGGTATACGTGTGAGTAATAGAAACACAGTTTAGGTAAGTAACGAAAATCGTAATTCCATGCTGTTGGTCCGTCTCGGACAATGGGACGTGTTAAATAGAGGAGATAAAAGGGCAGACCGATCGGTGAGAGGTAGACAAAGAATATGATTTCGTTTTCATATTCCGGGGGCGGGCGTGGCGACGAGCATGGCAATGAGCCTGGCCAGCCTTACGACCGGAAGCGAGGGAGGCACACGCGCATCCGGTGATGCGAGACGTCTACGCAAGATACGATCCTCCTCTTCGCCTTCTTTCCCCGCGCGCGATCAAAGATTTCCCTTCGGATTCGAGCGGCTCGAACCGAACGATGACTCGCAGCAACACTCGGTTTTATTCGCCGAGGGGGAAAAAAAAAAAGAGAAAAAAGAAAAAAAAAAGGAAAAAAAACGAAGGTAGAGAACACCGTTTATCTTGTTTCATGGTCTCGAGCAAGCGTGAAAGTCATTTGCAGGTTCATCTTCGTTCGATAGCTACCGTTCTGCAAACATTTACGTTTCGCAATCGCGAAACACGGTGTTCTCGAAGGCTTTTGTTGCACTTTCTGGAATTCAGAATTGAGACGTTTCAACGTCTCAAGGTGATGTATGGGCGGTTATCTCAGTAACGAAAACCACTTTTTGTCGATTTGTCGATTTCTGACAAAAACTGGGCGACGATTAACCAATTTCTTTCGAAACGAATGATTTAGTGACAATAAATTTATTTCGCGCGATAAGATGTAAAAACATCGTATACATTTTAAAAGTTTGTGTTCATAACATCGTTCGCAAACATGGTCGTTGGAACATATGAAAATCCGACGTATCGTAAAATTCTTTCTTACTCAAGCAGGAAGTTGAGAATTTCCTTGGATGTTGCTCACAAAATTGCGACAAAGTCCAACCACCATCGATTGAGCAAGTCTGTTCTCTGAGAACGAAGAGACACGGTTGCAAGAGTACCTTGCTAAACTTTTTCAACCAAAGTTCAAGCAACGGATGCACGTATCAAACGGGTTGCAACACAGTCGGGTTGCCCGACGGTGCAATTGTTATATTGTAGCAATAAGAATTGCATCGTGGCATCGTGGCACGCGATCGAAATGGTCCCCTATTGGTGAGCCTAATTGCAAGAACCACGGTATTTTCTCCGTTGCTTACATAATGAAATCGGCTGCGCCGCTGCATCCGGATCTCGTTCGACGTCGAAACCGATGTGAATCATCCCCTCACGCGAGATCAGTCCGTGCTTCACGCTCTTCCCAACGAGACTTCTATTCCGTCACGAATTTACTGAAAATTCCTTACATTTGGAATCCAGATTTCCTCTCGTTTCGCAAGCAACTTGAAGCAACATGAAGATTCAAATTTTGCTCTCGAGTTGTCGATGCTTGGGTAAATCTTCTCGTGCAGTTCCGAGGAAACCATCTTTTCCCAGAATAACGTTTCCGTCGATTCCATCGGCATTAACAGTCAGTTGGTGGTGTTTCGAAAGGACCACAGCTACCGTGCACGCATAATATGTAAATGCGTGGTGCCACGTCCGAGCTACCAGAACGATTTGCACCGCGAGAGGTCCAGCATTAGGAGACGCGATTACGCAGTGACACTCGTTGAGGACCGCAACAATTTATCTGGGGGGTTGTCGCGCGTCCGTGCAACCGGGCATCGTGTATCACTCGCGGCGAGGGACGCGTTGCAAACGGATGCGCGACGGAGAGCATGGTTTCGAGTGATAGATCTCCCGGCCATGGTGAAATATACCTGCGAACTTGGTGTAACGTGCGCTTCGCACGCAACGGATTACCTGCGAATCTTGGAAAGCATCCGTCACACGGCAGACTTGGAGAGAATTTCTTGACGGCGACCTTTCCGGAGAAATTGCAGATATTTGTCGTAATCTCATC